CCTTTATTTTAAGACATCTTACCAATCTAATGAAAAAACACCTTCAAGGCTTCAGGATGAAACCAGCTATTTCATTTAAGGTTGAGAGGGTCCTGCAGTGTTTTGAGACTACTTATACATCTTAAAATCGCCTGAACCTGCTTTATTCTGAACTCCATGCGTCCTCCATGCGTCCTCCATGCGTCCTCTTGGGTTTTTAAAGCAGAGAAACAGAGCGATGTGAAACAGGAAGACAGGACAAAGTTAATAAAGTATGAACATCTGATGAATATGAACCATCAGACGGTCTGTTAGGCCTCGGATCAGAGCGGTTTCCTCCTGACGTATTGAAGTCTGTGAGGAATGGAATATTAAATATGACATATAGATAGAAAAGTAAAATGTACAGAGTGATTGTGAGTAAAGGTGAGCAGGTGCAGACTCCTCTCTGGAGAGTACACAGGTAACGGAGGAGAGAAACAGATTCCCGTCCAGATGAGAAACAGCGAGCGGCGCTAAATGAGTGTAAAAGCATTCGAGAGGATGTATACATGCTCCTCTGAAGCATGCAGGCCCAATGCATTGTGGGATGTGAGCGCGGGGGGGTAATGAGCTTGCAGAGATGTTCCAGGAATCCTGTGTTTGGGAACATTTGTGTTTTTATACCTGCATCTTTCTGAAGCTGTTTGCACCTGGCGGCCTCCGTAGCCTCTCAGTCAAAATACATGAAAACATCTTAAAAATATATATGAAAAACTGGAAAAATGCTTAGTGGATACTTGTGGTATTAATACTCTAACTCCACCTCCCTCTCTTCCCTTTTACCGTCTCCTCATCGTTTCATATTGCCTTCTGCTTTCCTTATACCTCACGTTAAAGTGTATTTTACACCCTGGCCTTTTATTCCACTGTAAAAGCCCCTTTAAACCGTTCTGATGTTTAACTAATGAAGCAGGACCTTTCCGTGCTGCTCACACTGCGAAGCTGCAAGTATCTGTGTCTAGTATCTAGTCAGAATATGTGTTTCCAGTTGATATTAGACCTGATATCTTTAGGAGTAACACAGCAGTGACACAGGCTCTTGTTTTTAGACTGCATCATCTTGGTAACTCAAAGACTCTTAAAAACATCTTATTTTGAGTTTACAACACATTTTATTTAAGGTTGTTAAGCTGCTGAGGTGTTTGTAAAAGATGGATCATGTTGTCTGTAGAAATACATCTTTTCGAAAAACACATTTTTATTGGAAAATCAGCGACTAACACTTTGAGCATTTCTGGCTTATTTGGTTGTTCTGCTTCTGGTCAAATATAGTCCAAAATCCCAGCTAACGACACGATCTCCTTTCTAAAGATCCCATCTTTGTTGTCCCAGGATGCACCCAAAACATAAAGATTATATTTCGGTTAAATGCGTCTTAACTGATGCAGAATATTCCCATTAGCTTTCAAGGTGAGAAACATGGCAACGTGGCTCGTCTTCACTTTTAAAATCATCAGTTTTTATGGAAGTATTCTTTACAAATCTGAATGTATCCAGGTATAAATAACACCTTCAAGGCTTCAGGATCAAACCAGATTCCTGCAGTGTTTTGGGACTATTTATACGTCTTAAAATCACCTTTATTTTAAGATATCTTACCAATCTAATGTATAAATAACACCTTCACAATTTCAGGATCAAACCAGCTATTTGAATGTAAGGTAGAGGTGTTCCTGCCGTGTTTTGGGACTATTCATCCATCTTAGAATCACCTGAAACTGCTTTATTCTGAACTACATGCATCCTCTTGGTTTCCAAGCAGAGAAACAGAACGATGTGAAACAGGAAGACAGTACAGCGTTAATAAAGTATACAAATCTGATGAATATCAAACATTAGACGGGCTGTTAGGCTTCAGGATCGAACCAGCTTTTTGAATGTGAGCATGGGATGTTCCTGCCGTGTTTTGGGACGATTCATCCGTCTTAAAATTCATACGTTATTTCTAGAAATCTTGTTCATTTTTCTCGTTACGAGTGAAAACACACCGCAGCGTTTCTGCAGCTTCTTCATAAATGTGTAAATATTCATGGCTGTGACCCGCCGCCTCTGGTGCTGCAAATCTGCCGTCAAGAAATTAGTTTAACATGTAACCCTCCCTCCCTTTCCCTCCCTTTATCTCCCCCTTTCCCTCCCCTCACAGTCACTTAGTCTCTAATAACAGAGCGCCGCCATCAGCAGGACGCCAACCAACCGTTTGATCACTTTCACAGGGAGGGCCATAAATACTTGATTAAATATATAAAGAAAACCCCCTCCTCTCCCTCCCTCTCTCTCCTCTCTCACCTCTGAATTATCTCCCCCTCTCCTCCCTCTGATTTATAAGAACACATCAGACAGCAGGAGAAAAAAGAGGAGAATCAATACGAATTACGATGGAGAAAGTGCCACTGATGCCTGGGACTGCAGCATATGTTTACACTAAATCAGGCAATCTGTCTTCATATGGGCGGTGTAATGGAGGGGGGGGGGGGGGGGGTCAGGGTGCCGCTCTCCAATTACCGTCTGTTTGCAGGCAGGGAGCGTATTGATTGGCTGGCAGGAGGACGGGGGAGTGGAGGCAGCCAATGAGGCGCTGGGGTCAAAGTGTGGAGGGATGTGAGAGGTTCATTTTCATTAAAAAGCCTCTGTGTTTTACTCTGTGTCCATCTTGGTGTGCAGAGGGTTGTCGGTTCGATTCCCAGCAGGATGCACAGGAAGATATTCTGTGGTGATCTTTATTAATGCCTGGATCAATGACGTTTACACAGAATACTTCCACAATCAGTGAAGAGGAGGTATTTCACCTTCGTTGCATCCAATGGAGATATGTTATGATGTCCTCCATCATGTCCAAAGAGTGCAGATTGTTTTTTCATCCACACATTTCTTGGTTCAAATCCCAGGGAACTGCGTCTTAATTGATTCCCATGTGATGCAGAATATTTCCATTTGCTTTCATGGTGAGAAACATGGCAACGTGGCTCGTCTTCACTTTTAAAATCATCACTTTTTATGGAAGTATTCTTTAAAAACCTTCATTTATCCAGGTATAAAAACACCTTCAAGGCTTCAGGAGGAAAGCAGCTTCTTGCAGTGTTTTGGGAATATTTATACGTCTTAAAATCCCTCCTTTATTCTGAACTACATGCGTCCTCTTGGGTTTTTAAGCAGAGGATGTGAAACAGGAAGACAGTACACAGTAAATAGAGAATACAAATCTGATGAATATCAAACATCAGACGGTCTGTTAGGCCTCGGATCAGAGCGCTTCCTCCTGACGACGAAGAGTTAAATAACTCTAATAAATAACATCTTTAAACCAGCTAAGGTTGAGATGCTCCTGCAGTGTTTTGGGACTCTTTATACGTCTTAAAATCACCTGAATCTGCACTACATGCGTCCTCTTGGGTTTCTAAGCAGTGGATGTGAAACAGGAAGACAGTACACAGTAAATAAAGTATAACAATCTGATGAATATCAAACATCAGACGGTCTGTTTCCTCCTGACGGCGAAGAGTTAAACGTCTCTCGGAGTGTAAATGGCTTTTTTATTCAATTGCAGCATTTCCCATAGTGCCTTTCACTTGTTTTGTGAGTAGTGTGAGCGTCTGGAGGCTGGTTCCTGCTGATGTGCTGCTCTGCATCCTCTCAAAGAGCCTCTCTGGGACCCACAATGAGATCTGAGAGATTCACTTTCTGTTCCTGTCGGCCAGAAACAAACATGGCAGCCAAACCTCGGAGGGCGCCACGTCAAAATAAAAAAGCCCTTCACCTCCATCTCGTATCCTGAAAGCCTTTCGTCTCCGCCGCCACTCGACAAATTTGATTTAGCAGCTCGTGCTCGCCCGTTCCCGGGGAAAAGAAAACAAATATTGTTATAATGGTAATAACATCTATTTGGGCGACAAACGGCGGCGAGGCTCTTTGAAAGAGACCCCTCTTCGTCGCCCGTATATATAAAGCGACCTTATTCTTATTCATGAAAGCCACGGTTATGCATATTAGCGCAAACTAGCTATTCTACTCAGCGGCATTTGGACTGTCAATCATCCTTACAGAGTACAAGAGCCTCGCTGACAAAAGCCCGGGCCGAGCAACGCTGACAAATTGTCCCCAAAGTCAAATTTGACAGCCTTTTATGATTAATGGGCTTGATTATTGGAGAAGTGTCTCCCCGAACTCATTTCCGGGTGTTTCTCCCAGCGATGGGAGAGCAGCAGGAGGAGGTGAAGGGAAGGAGAGGAAAGAAAGGAGAAAGGCTGGATTGAATTAGCGGTGAAAAGGATGGAGAGTGAGGTCTCACGGTTAATAAAGAGAGAAGATAAGAGAGTGGAGCTGAAGATCAGCGAGAGGTCGAGGATAACTTCAGACGTCCTGGTTTGCTTCTCTTAATTTCTGTTACAAATATTGTCCTTAAAAACCTCCTTTTTCTTAAAAAACTGCAGTAAGAATATTGCTTTTTTTCTACCTTGCTGCAGATGTATTAATTAGCTCGTTAACAATCATCAGGTGTGTTAACGAGCTGTTTTCATATGATCCAATCAACGGTGTCAACCTGAGATAAAACACAGGAAAAGACAAATAAAAAGACAAATCTATTCCTATAAAACATGCCCTATTCTTCTTATGTGGTGTTCCCTGTCCTTTATATGTTTTAGTGCATGTCAATGGTCTACAGAGGCTGAAATCAGATGTATTAATCAGCTCGTTAACAATCATCAGGTGTGTTAACGAGCTGTTTCTTTAAAACCATGTATATGATCCAATCAATGGCGTCAACCTGAGATGAACCCCAGAAGAAGCCAAAGACACATCGTAAAACATCTTAAAGAGGCCCTATTCTTCTTCTGTGGTGTCCCCTCTCCTGTATATGTTTGAGTGCATGTCAATGGTCTGCAGAAGCTAAACTATCTCTCTCTCTCTCTCTCTCTCTCTCTCTCTCTCTCTCTCTCTCTCTCTCTCTCTCTCTCTCTCTCTCTCTCTCTCTCTCTCTCCAGCCCTGAACGAGCCCACCATTGACTACGGCTTCCAGAGGTTACAGAAGGTCATCCCCCGTCACCCTGGAGACCCCGAGAGGTTACCTAAGGTCAGTCCAAGGTCACTCTGCAGGGTGAAGGTCACCTGCTGCAGGTACGACCCACAATGCACCTGTCCGTCAGCGCTGTGGGAGTCTTAATCAGGTTCACTTTAAAGGCTGATTTACAAACCTGGAGACTTGTGTGTGTGTGTGTGTGTGTGTGTGTGTGTGTGTGTGTTGTTTTTTTATCACAGGACACTGTATTTATTTGGCTTTGTTCGGATGGTACAGAGCATCAGGTTCTGAGGTGCATTATGGGTAGAGTGATTGTTTATCAGGAGGAAAAACACAGCTGACTTGACTTGTGTGAAAAGGGTTAGCCTAGCTTAGCACAAAGACTGGAAGCAGAGGGAAACTGTTAGCCTAGCTCAGCACAAAGACTGGAAGCAGAGGGAAACTGTTAGCCTAGCTTAGCACAAAGACTGGAAGCAGAGGGAAACTGTTAGCCTAGCTTAGCATAAAGACTGGAACTATAGGCAAAGTTGATTGTTGTAATGAAGTGAAGACACAACGTGCTTTGTGGCTACAGAAGTAAAAACATAGATGCAGCCCTTTAAAATGAATCTTAACCTGTTAAGCCCGAGAGACCCCGGTACCGGTTAACTTAAATACTTTGAGTTAAAGAAACTTACAATTTTACATTATTGATTCAAGAAAGGTTCATTATCTGTCAAATCAACTTTAACTTCTACCTTATCTTAAATTCTAAGCAACGATAACTTTAACCTGTTAAGCCCGAGAGACCCCGGTACCGGGGCCCTCCCGCAACATCTTGCAGGAAACAGTGTCTGAGGGCATGTTCATTTAATAAACTATGAATGTTTTATATCCATGTAACGGGAAGAAACTCATCTAACTGATCATTTTTATTCTTTTTTTCAAAAGAAAACCCACAATGCTAACACTGAGCCTCTGAATTAGCAACGAGCGAAAAATGCGAACAGATGACTGCACCGAAAATCACTCACAAAACCTTATTATTTATCTTTTCTGCACATCCATGACATCGTTTCACATCGTGAGGTGACACAGAATCAATGGGTGCATAAATTATCACTCCATGATACGAACTTGCGACTTTATAAACAAAAACAGAAATCAAAACATGTGGCGCTAGGTAGCTAAAAACGCTAACATGGCTTACCTTTGTCGTAGTCTGGTCCAAAGTGGTCTTCAATGGCATTAAAATGATAAAAACGCTGCTGAAGTTAATCCATAGGTTAATCCAATGTGTCTGTGTCCCTTTGAAATGATTTCTGATAATCCATCAGCAATCAAACGGCTTTTCCGTTTCCAGATGTCAGAGCCAGAGTATAGGTTCACTCTGATGCAAAACTGCATGCGCGAAGACCCCACCTTTTTTTTTTACAATGTGTGTGTGTGGGGGAATCCCCCTTCGATTCTATTGGCTCTAACGGTCAGAAAGAGGTGTCAACCATCAAAATCGACAAAGAGGGGGACTATTTCATAGTCTTTCATTGTTATTATCATTATTATTTTAATTTTTTTCTTGATTTAATTTTTAATTTTTATTAATCTGTGTGAATCTTTGCTGTCCTGTTTTTTCACGCTTACCCTGTTGCTGCTTTGTACAACTGAATTTCCCCACGGGGATTAATAAAGGTCCATCTTATCTTATTTTAGATATGGAAAATCCACCCAAATCACCCCAGAAGTGTTTTGTTTTGGCTAAACCTCTCTAAAAAGGTCAAATGTCACTTGTTTTGCATCAATCTTGATACAGGGTACTTATTATATGTTGTACTTTGGATTACTAAAGCTTTTATTCTACCTTACCATCATCCAAGGGTAGTTTTCACTATAAGTAAAAAAGAATTTTTGGACGGACACTATAATTTACAGTTTTTTACTATGTTCAATCTGAATTTTCTTTAAAATAAAAAACATCTATATTGATTCTGACGTTTCTACATCCAGCTCACAGGTTTATCATTACTTTGAGAAAAAAGATTATTAATTCAACCCTTTTAGAAGGGAAGATATGGTCATTTGTTCTGGGAATGTCATTTTCGAGCCTGAGACCTGAAAAACAGGCTCGGGGCTAAACAGGTTAAAGGTGGGGTAGGTAATTTTGGAGAAACCGGCTCGAGATCGCTAGAATTTGAAAATACACAGCTGGGAAAAATCTGCCACTTCCTTACAGAGCCCCTCCTCCAACAGACACGAATGCGCACATGACCAATGAGGGCACGAGATAAGTTTGTGCACAGATGGAAGGCTGACAGGCAGGTAGGCCATCCAGTTATTTTAGCCGGGCCGGCTAAAATGATTTGTCGTGCTTTTTACAGTACTACAGCTTCCACAGATGACATTTTTTTATGGATTTTTTGCCAAAGCTCTTAAGATATTCATTGCTATCGGGATGTTAAGAGCATTCCATGTAATATAACAAAAAGTGTATCTCGAGCCGGTTTCTCAAACTTACCTACCCCACCTTTAACGTCTTTAAATTCTCCATTTAAACTCAGAAGCTATAGTGTGACTGCAGGCTGGTGTCCGGCTCACTTAGAGTCTCTGCAGGTGGCTTTTTCTTTACATCTGCGGTTAAAATGAAGTGAAAGGCGCCGCCTGGAAGAAAGATCCTGTTTATTATAAATGCATTACTGGGAAACAGTGAAGAAGAGTGTGTGTGATCTGCTGTTAGAGGTGAGGAAAACACACAGGGAGCTGCTGGGAGCTGCGTGTAGGAAAACATCAGGAGTGAAATGTGCCTGTTTTCAATATACACACACACACACACACACACACACACACACACACACACACACACACACACACACACACACACACACACACACACACACACACACACACCCTGTTAGTATGAAGACATTCTGCTGGGTTCCTGGCGGCGGCAGATGGACTCTGACACTCGAAAACAGCTGCCAAATTGAAACCATTTATCAAAATCTGACACGGGAGATCCAGGCGCAGAAAGGCAGTTTGTGGTTAACGTGACGCTAACAGAGAGTCTGGCCTCGGCCCATAGGTATTCATTTATTCAAAGAAAACTCAATAAGAGGCCGGCTGCCGGAGAGCCGAGGGTTAAACCTGCTGTCACTTCCTGTTAGATAACCTGCTGTCACTTCCTGTTAGATTTCACCTCCGAAACACAGGGGGGGAGGCTGTTAGCTTAGCTTTAGCTTCACTGCACTCACACAGCAGCAAATACAGGGAGGCGTTCAGGTGACATGAGGATAAATAAATCATATCAAGTGAACATGTAGTAAGATGAATACAAAAATAAAGTATAGTTAATAAACCTGGGAATAAATACACATTTTAAATTAAATAAAGTGAAGAAACGTGAGGAAAATTGTAAGAATGAAATACAGTGAAGTAAATAAATATGAAAATGAAGCTTAGCTTTAGTATCACTTTATGAGATAAAATGAGATATAACAATTCAAATGGAGGCGGGTTCATGCGAGTGATTGGTTAGCTTAGCACAGAGACCGGGAGCAGAGGGAAACTGTTAGCATAGCATAGAGACCGGGAGCAGAGGGAAACTGTTAGCTTAGCACAGAGACCGGGAGCAGAGGGAAACTGTTAGCATAGCTTAGCACAAAGACTAGAAGCAGGAAGAAACTGTTAGCCTAGCTTAGCACAAAGACTGGAAGCAGGGGGAAACAGTTAGCATAGCTTAGCACAAAGACTGGAAGCAGGGGGAAACAGTTAGCATAGCTTAGCACAAAGACTAGAAGCAGGGGGGAACTGTTAGCCTTGCTTAGCACAAAGACTAGAAGCAGGGGGAAACTGTTAGTCTAGCTTAGCACAAAGACTGGAAGCAGGGGGGAACTGTTAGTCTAGCTTAGCACAAAGACTGGAAGCAGGGGGGAACTGTTAGCCTAGCTTAGCACAAAGACTAGAAGCAGGGGGAAACTGTTAGCCTAGCTTAGCGCAAAGACTGGAAGCAGGGGGGAACTGTTAGCCTAGCTTAGCACAAAGACTAGAAGCAGGGGGAAACAGTTAGCCAAGCTTAGCACAACGACTAGAAGCAGGGTGAAACTGTTAGCATAGGTTAGCACAAAGAGCACACTTTAATCACAAACTGTAAAACACGGATCTTCTCTTCTCTGTGATCTGTGAGCTGAGCGTGTTTACCATGTTTATTAGCATGTTTAGCTTGTTTAGCCGTGTGTTTAGCGTGTTGCACCTTTAGCCCTGATCACTGACCCCCCCCTCATTGTGAATAATGAGCCGTGTTCATAATGAGCTGCTTTTAAATATGTTTCCTGTGTCTGGAGTTAACCTGCACCATGTTCACATCATCAGAATCACTGACCCCCCCTTTATCATCTCTGATGGTTTGCCCCGGGTTGGTCTATGTTTTATAGAGATCAGGGGGGTGGTGATTTATCTTTGTTAGGCTGCTGTCTGAGGGTCAATCTGATCCATGAAGCCTCACAAAGAAGAGGAGGAGGAGGAGGAGGAGGAGGAGGAGGAGGAGGAGTATGAGGAGGAAGAGGAAGAGGAAGAGGAGGAGACAACCACAACAATCAATATATATAAAATAACAATAAATATATACAACATAACACTCACTTCGAAGAGGAGGGTTTGAACCAACTAGCACTAGTGTGTGTGTGTGTGTGTGTGTGTGTGTGTGTGTGTGTGTGTGTGTGTGTGTGTGTGTGTGTGTGTGTGTGTGTGTGTGTGTGTGTGTGTGTGTGTGTGTTCAGCAGTAAAGGGTTAATCCCTCATTGGTTAGAGGAGATTATCCAATCAGCTGGCAGCATCTTGGAGCTGATCTGGAGTCAGTTCCTCTCTGAGGTCAGTGATAAGAGATGATGAGGAGGAGCAGTGCATTACTGTATCGACCAATGAGGGGGGGGGGTGCTGACAGGAATCCAATGCTGTGTGTG